CAAAGTTGTGAGAAGTACAAGGAATTAATAATGATGAGGTTCAATTAAAGGGAACTTAAATAGGGTAGGAGTACTTGGATTGGTGAATGTTGTGACTTACATTTAAAAAAAAATGCAGGGGATGATTGATTGAATTTCATTGGGACACTGGCTTTGGAAATAGTGGAAGAAAAAATTTAGTTTTAGCTGTGATAGGATATCAAACTATCTCACTTGTTAACACTTGCCTGAATGAGTGTAGGTTGGTCGCTGGTACCTTTGATGCAGCTGAGTGAGATATCAGGTAATCTCACGGTTTGTCACCTTTGATACAGTCGTAGATTGGTTGAGAGTTGAAATCGTCACAGCTGTCCTGGGTTGTACTTGTAATTATCTTAGCTTGTAAGTTTAACAAGACACACAGGTTCTGTTATCTTCACTCGTTGTTCCTTGGTTTAATGTAAACACCCGTGGTGATTTTCTAGTTACCGTATTTTTCGGCTTGAAAGACGCACTTTTTATGACAAAAATATACCTTGAAAATTACCATGCGTCTTCCAGGACGCGAGATGATAGTTGTAGCAGAGGTTTTCTTAGGGTCAACTGAAATCAGCCCCTTACAAAGACTGTTACCTCATTACAGTACTTAAAAATCACAAGTATTCTCTATACTGTACTGTACTATAAAACTATTGATTTAACTAATATTGTTGATATATTGCAAAAAATAGTAAAAATAAACCCTTGCTGCTGTGTGGTTTGTTTTCTAATGGCAGTGGTGCGGCAGTGCCATCTATTGAGGAGTTGCTAAAGGTTGTCTGCTGGTCTCAAAGCGCAAGAATGTGTTTCTTTATACGTAGGCTCTCATATTTGGACACCTATTTACAGTAGGCTCTCATATTTGGATACCCATTTAGACTGTAAAAAACCCACAAAATTAAAATCTTCCAAATTTAAATACAACTTCGTCATCCAAGTAAAAACACACACACAACAACATTGGCTGTCCTTATGTTTTCAACTTTACCACCACTGGTGGGTAGAATTTTTTTTTAATTCAGAAACATTAATTAAAATAAATATGAACAGTAAATAAGTGTTGCTTTCATATTTTTATGTAGAGTAATGACGATATGTTTACACATGCTCACTTACATACGCGATCTCACTTTTTTTTTTACCCTTAATTGTTAGCTACTTCCATTGTTCCATTTATTAACATTAAATAACATTACTTAAAACAACCATATTAATTTTTCTACATTAATTTTACTACAGCTACAACCTGGGTCTTATTTTCTTCAGTTTTATAGGTACTATGTAGAACCAATCAGTCACTGGTTTTGCAAACATTGAGTTGTTTTTTTACTTTAATTTTTTGTTTTTAAATGAATATTTTTGGTTGATATACATGTTTACATTTGCTTACCTTCTAATGTTGGAAAATATTTCCCGTCGTTGTCGTACCGACAAAAACAAGAGAAAGAAGGTAAACACTACAGCCCGCTAGATGTGGAGGGGACCAGGTGCATAAAATGAGTGCTGTATTAAAGATTTCATCTTCTTGTACAGATTTTTTTTTAAATTGATTAAAATGACAACTGATAAGCAGTTCTAAGTGATGATATTCAAAGAGGTGTGTGTACTTGTGCCAAAAGGGCTGTATAATTATCAAGCAACGGTTTCACTGGTGTCAGTAGTAGGCAGCTACCAAACAGGGAGGTACTACTGCCTGGGAAGACATTGGTAGACCTTGCTGCCATATGGCATCACAAAAATTGTGACCAAGTCCCAGGTTGCTGATCTGACTTTCTGCCTCATTTACACACAATTGCAGGGTCTCAATTGTTTCTTACTTTGACAAAACAACTTACATATATTGTTTCTCACTCTTGATTTTTTTATAATTTTTTGTATTTCTTTATGGTTCTTTATTATTTTTATTATTATTACAGGTTGACAACCCTTTATCCGAAATTCCGAAAACCGAAAGTTTTTTTTGAAGCAATTTTTTTTTTTTTACAGGGATTAGCCCACCCAGGGCATAGATCACTGACCCACATCGGGGCCGAAAATGTAATAGTAATAATAATATAATAATAATAATTATTCATAGTAAATAAAATTTTTAATAAAAATACACCAAAATAAAATAATAATGATAACAATAATAATAATAATAATAAATATAATAATAAAAATATTAATGTAATAATGTAATACTAGTATAATAATAAAATAATAATAATAAAGAAATACAAGAATGAAAAAAAAAGATCAAAAGTGAGAAACACGACCTAGACCTATGAATTATTATTTTTTTACGCCCCAGAACGTATTGGGTCAGTGATCTATGCCCGAGGTGGGCTAATAAAAAAAAAATCTGAAAACCGAAAAAATTCCAATGCATACTATTTAAGGATTTCTGATAAAATTGTCAACCTAAATATTATTCCTCCTCCTCCCAATCCTCCTCACTCCTCCTCCTCCTCCTCCTCCTCCTCCTCCTCCTCCTCCTCTCCCTCCTCCTCCTCCTCCTCCTCCTCCTCCTCCTCCTCCTCCTCCTCCTCCTCCTCCTCCTCCCTCCTCCTCCTCCCTCCTCCTCCTCCTCCTCTCCTCCTCCTCCTCCTCCTCCTCCTCCTCCTCCTCCTCTCCTCCTCCTCCTCCTCCTCCCTCCCTCCCCTCCTCCTCCTCTCCCTCCTCTCCCCTCCTCCTCCTCCTCCTCCTCCTCTCCTCCTCCTCCTCCTCCTCCTCCTCCTCCTCCTCCTCCCCTCCTCCTCCTCTCTCTCCTCCTCCTCCTCCTCCTCCCTCCTCCTCCTCCTCCTCCTCCTCCTCCTCTCTCCTCCTCCTCCTCCTCCCTCTCCTCCTCCTCCTCCTCCCTCCTCCTCTCCCTCCTCCCCTCCCTCCTCCCTCCCCTCCTTCCCCTCCCCTCCCCTCCTCTCCTCCCCTCCCCTCCTCCCTCTCCTCCTCCTCTCCCTCCTCCTCCCTCCCCTCCCTCCTCCCTCCCTCCCTCCTCCCTCCTCCTCCCTCCTCCCTCCTCCTCCTCCTCCTCCTCCCTCCCTCCTCCCCCTCCCCTCCTCCTCCCTCCCTCCCTCCTCCCTCCTCCCTCCCTCCTCCCCTCCCTCCTCCTCCTCCTCCTCCCTCCTCCTCCTCTCCTCCTCCTCCCTCCCTCCCTCCTCCTCCTCCCTCCTCCCCTCCTCCTCCCTCCTCTCCTCCTCCTCCTCCCCTCCCTCCCCTCCTCTCCTCCCTCCCTCCTCCTCCTCCTCGTCCCCTCCTCCCTCCCTCCCTCCTCCCTCCCTCCCTCCCTCCTCTCCCTCCTCCCCTCCTCCTCCTCCCTCCCTTCCTCTCCTCCCTCCTCCTCCTCCCCTCCTCCTCCTCCTCCTTCCTCCTCCCTCCTCCTCCTCCTCCTCCTCCTCCTCCTCCTCCCTCCCTCCCTCCTCCTCCTTCCCTCTCCTTCCTCCTCCTCCTCCTCCTCCCTCCCTCCTCCTCCCTCCCTCCTCCTCCCCTCCTCCTCCTCCTTCCTCCTCCCTCCTCCTCCTCCTCCTCCTCCTCCTCTCCTCCTCCTCCCTCCTCCTCTCCCTCCCCTCTCCTCCCTCCCCACCTCCCTCCTCCCTCCTCCTCCTCCCTCTCCCCTCCCCTCCTCCCTCCTCTCCTCCCTCCCTCCCTCCCTCCCTCCCTCCTCCTCCCTCCCTCCTCCTCTCCCTCCTCCCCCTCCCTCCCTCCTCCTCCTCCCTCCCCTCCCTCCCTCCCTCCTTTCCCACCTCCTCCCTCTCCCTCTCCTCCCTCCCTCCCTCCCTCCCTCTCCCCTCCCTCCCCTCCCTTCCCCTCCTCCCTCCCCTCCTCCCTCCCTCCCTCCCTCCCTCCTCCCCTCCCCTCCCTCCTCTCCCTCCCCTCCTCCTCCCCCCTCCCCTCCTCCTCCCTCCCTCCCTCCCTCCCTCCTCCCTCCTCCCTCCCTCCCTCCCCCTCCCTCCCCCTCCCTCCCTCCCTCCCTCCTCCCCCTCCCCTCCTCCTCCCTCCCCTCCCTCCCTCCTCCCTCCTTCCCCTTCCCTTTCTCCTCCCTCCCTCCCTCCCCTCCCTCCCTCCCCCCTCCCTCCCTCCTCCTCCTCCTCCTCCTCCTCCTCCTCCTCCTCCCTCCTCCTCCTCCACCTCCTCCCTCCTCCTTCTTCTTCTTCTTCTTCTTCTTCTTCTTCTTCTTCTTCTTCTTCTTTGGATAATCTGTTGCTCAAATTGCTGATGAAATGATACTCATATGAGTTGTTATTATGACATATAAAAGTGTCGTACAGTGGTCCCTCGGTTAACGAACACAATTCGTTCCAGAAGGTCGTTCGTTATGTGAAAATTTCGTTAACCGAATCCATTGTTTCAATGGGAAATTGGGTAATTGGTTCCAGCTCACCAAAAAGTACATACAAAGTAAAAAAAAAACTGCATTAAAGTACACTTACTTTGAGGTGTGAATGTAGAAGGCTCCTGGTTGATGATGATGATGGGAATTAGAAGTGGGGTTGAGGAGAAGGGAGAAGAGAAGGATGTGGTATGGAAGAGAAATCACCTTTCAGTGGACCCATGCTTGATGCTATATATTATCAATATGTTAACTAAAGTTCATAATGACCAATAATTTCAATGAAAAATGCAAAAATATTCATGACACCAACAAAATGGCTGCTCTCTCGACAGTAAACAAAGCCAGACTGAACCTGGACTGCATATAATATTATCAATATGTTAAATAAATGTTAAAATGAAAAATAATTTTAATATAAAACATTCAAAAATATTAAATAGCTCAACTTTGTTGATATTTACTCAATTGGAAACGAATTTAAACATAGAACAAAACGTGATCTTCGTAAGGATTTCATTAATCAAATTTTTGTTCGTTAACCAAATTGAAGATTCTTGTGGAAGGTAATTCGTTAACCGAAATTTCGTTAACCGAGGGACCACTGTACAATATATGTATAGTCTTGAATCATGGAAAGATGTTTGAATAAAATTGCCTCTTATATTTACAGGTATACAAGACAGCATATGCTGCCCATGCAAATAATTCACACTGCTTAGCCCAAGCTGTCAACACATTATTTGCAGCTCTCTTTACGTATTGTGGACGGGGGCAAGATATTGAAGAAAGACTGAAAGAATTTCTGGCGGTAATATAATCAAACAACTTCCATTGAATTTTATACTATATTTTTCTCTTTAAAGTTGTGACATAGATTCAAATACCTGACCAAAGTTTCTTAGGAAAAATGATATATCCAGCACTTTACTTTGAATACAAATAAGATGAGAAAATTCATATTTAGTCTTGGATAGGACAGGTACGGTATACAGTATACTGTATATTTTGAACATTACACATTTACTGATAGCAGAAGTCCACTTCTTAACTATGAAATAATTGTTTTCTGAATTTGTCTAAAGAAATAGCTTGACATGTCAGTGGAGGGAAATAGCATGTGGAGATAATGGAGATCCAGATTTGGGAAGGATCTCATTGATGGAAGTATGTAGCTACTTTCCTTTACTTTAATGGAAGCTAATTTTGATTGTTCCATCACAGATAGATAGATAGCCTGAGTGCTTTTGTTTTTGTGTTGTAGCTTGCATCATCAAGTCTTCTCCGCCTGGGTCGGGAGAATGATAAGGACGTTATTAAGAACCGAGATGCTACATATATCCTGCTCCACCAAGTGAGTCTTGAAGATGGTTTAATTAAGCATTTATTTTCCATTTAGTATCAGTTTTAGACATTACAAAATTCTGTTACTTCTCCAAAAATTGATAAATCACTTGTTCTGTGGTTTGAATGTCTAAAAGTTTGAAAGTTTAAAGTTGACTACAAAAAAAATAATATAGAAAAACCATTTGGTAAATATACAAGCAAGTGTCAAATTAACCTAAAAAAGAAAAGTTATAACTTATCCTGTTTTGTCATGTAACTACAATAAACCTGTGCTATTCGCGGGGATTAGATTTCAAGGAATGGCGCTAATTGGCAAAACCGTGAATAGCAACTTATACTACCTTAGTGAACTACTGTATACCTATACTGTGTATGAGAAACAAGTCACCAGTACTACTTAGTTAACTTCGTATATGGAAGTTTGGAGCTTAATGAAGAGTACTGTACAGTAGGATGAAATCTGGTTACTAAAGCATAGGGAGATCATCAGGATCACTGTTCGAAGAGGGTGATGCAATGGTGGTTGGTGGAACTGGCAGGTGGTGGAGAGGCACATGGTCGAGAGGCGGGTGGCGGAGTGGTGGGTGGTAGAGAGGTGGCAACAGCTGACCGAGTAGATGAATCAGTTGGGCGAGCGGTTGGTTCTTTCTTGAAAAACATCATGATTGGTAGTAGTTTCCTCTTGGCTTTTAGGTCTTTAGACATTTCCTGGTAAGGAGCCAATGCCTGGTTGATTTCTCGGACGATCTTAAGGCTCTGTTCCATGGAAGAGTCATGGTCAATAATGAAATCAGTTTCCACCTTCACATGTCGAAATAGTTAACCAAAATTCTTCAAGCCCCAACCTTTTGTTGCAATTCAATGATTTTTTCCGCTTCATATTCCTCAGCATTTTATACCAACTCTTCCAAATCCTCTTCTGTCAGTTCCTCTCCATGCCCATCAGTCAGTTCTGCCAATTGACATGTAACACTCACAATGTCATTCTCATCCTTTACTCTGGAAAGAAATCCCAGGAAGGAATTCACACACTCAGGCCATAGGATTTGCTAACAAGCATTCATTATCTCTGGTTTTAGTTCATTGAATGATTCACTGATGTTGGTAATGCAATTTGCAATGTTGTACTCCTTCCAACACTTGCTAACATCAAGGTCAGGGTCTGCGTCCATGGCACTACGGATAAGACCAAAAGAGCGTAGTCTGCAATATGCCAATCACATTTCAGGACGCTATCATTCTGCCAAATTCTAAAATAGATATGCTAGGCCTCACCATTTCCTCTAATATGTTATGGAAGCCACACATCCTCAACATTGCTAAAGCTGCCTCCAAAAAAGCTGGGAATGCTGTTCAGATGTCATAGCTACTTCACTCCTGAGCAGTTGCTTCAAGTATATAAAAGATTCATTCGTCCTAACTTGGAGTACTGCTTTTATATCTGGGGTGGCTGTTCTTCTGTCCACTTGTTAGATAGGGTGGAATCAAAGGTATTTCGTCTTATTATCTCTTCTCCTTTAGTTGACAATCTTTCTTCCCTTTCTTTTTGCCACAATGTTGCTTCACTCTCTCTTTTACAGGTACATTAATGGGCAATGTTCAGTGGATTTGGCTTCCTGTGCACCGCCGGCGAGGCCGTGGTCTCGTAACACACATTTTGCCCGCGGTGCCCGCCATTACTCTGTGGATGTCAGTCACACTAGAATAACCCATTATAGTACAGCCTTTTCCTCACACAGCCAAACTGTGGAATGCTCTGCCTTCTTCTGTGTTTCCACACTCATATAATCTGTCTCACGTTAAAAAGCTGGTTTTCCGGCATCTTCGTGGTGTGGATTAATATAACCTTTTCCTTTTCTATTTTGAATTTCTTTCTACCGTATATACTCGTGTATAGTTCGAGTTTTTAAGACCAAATTTTTAGGCAAAAAATTGGGGGTCGTCCTATACATGTGTAATAGTTTTGTTAGGTTGAACCCGTGCATGATGGGAAGGTCAAGGAGCAACTTTTAGCTTCAGACATGAAAAATATTTACCATTTACTGCCAGTAAACAATGGAAACGTAAAATATGTACCATTTAGTAATGAAAAGTTGTGCAGTTCCTTCAGCAAATGAAGCTCACCAACTTACAATAGGCTAAATTACCTTACAATGTGCTTTCAGTAGTCTATGTTGAAGTTCTTAGTACAGGCTAACTTATCATATCATATACTGTATCACAGTTCTCATTGATCTACAAAAAATACCGGTAATAAAAACCTTTTCGATATTTCACACTTAATATAATACCCGGTAATCTACTTCAACGTCCTATTGTTTACAACGACGTATGACGCACCACCAGCTGTTGAGTGTATCAGCTAGACGGTACACTTGTTTTTCGAATCGTTTTCAGTTAAATCACTGTTACATCACATGTATAATTTACCTTAGCTGTGCCTGAATGAATATGTTCTCGGAGATAAATAGTAGTTTTGCTGAAACGTGATGTATTTCAATGTAAAATAGGATAAAATACATGACGAAAACAAAAGATTTTACCTAACCTTCCGATGTTCAAGAGAAGTTACTCGTTTTTTAATAATTTTTGGTTAAAATATTGTTATATTACAATGGTATTCTATTCATACTGTGCTTGATATAATGCATTCACGGAAATGTAATATTTATGCTGAAATTACGTACGTTTTACAGTGGAAAATGGGATAAAATCGTGACGAAAACAATGACTTCCGCTTTCTTTCGTTCAAAAGATGTTACCGTAATCGCTTTTCGAATGGTTTAGTTAAAAAACTGTTGTACAGTGGGGTATGCTATAACGAATCTAATTGGTTCTAGAACCTTGTTCGTTATAGCATTCGTTCGTTATAGGATTAATCCGTTACAGGCCCCCAAATACAACCACTGAACACTGAAAAATATAATATAAAATTGTAAAAATTTTAAAAAAGTGCATAAATATGCATCTGAACCCCTGAAATAAAGAATAACATTAATACTTGTAATAAAAAAACAATAAATTAGTAAAAAAAAAAAAAAAAAATTAATGTTCGTTGTAGGAGTTTTGTTCGTTATAGCATTCTCAATTTTATAGGTAAAACTGTTCGTTATAGGAATATTCGTAGTAGAATCCATTCTTTATAGCATACCCCACTGTATTACAATAATATTCCCTCCTAATTGACTTGAATAAATACTTGAATGGAAATATACAATATTTTTGTTGAAACTACCCGCGTTTCAGTGTAAATTGTCGTAATAATAAATGGTAAACAATTCGCCTTCGGCACTCGTGTTTCAGGCACAGCGAGCCTCAGTTTATCGGACGTAGAGCGTCTTTACTGAAGGTTTTGTTGTTCCATTACCCTCAAAAACTTGGGTTGACCTATAAACAAGGAATATCATAAATTAACGATTTCTTGGTCAAAAAATCAGGGTCGACCTTTAAATGAGTGGGGGTTATAGACGAGTATATACGGTATTCTTATTTTTTTGCCCCCTAGGCCCCATTGTGGGTCGATGACCTGTTCCCGGGTGGGCTATTCCCTTTTAAAAAAAGGAAGAAAAAAGTGCATATTACACCCTGATCGAGAGGCTGAATAAGAGCAGTGGTGTTAGGGGGTAGGAGCACCACCTCTACTCCTGGATGGCTTAACTGCAAACTTTCTGGGTGGCCTGGTGCATTATCTATAAAAAAACAGCACCCTGAATTCCATCCTCTTGAAAGCAAGATACTTTTCCACTTCCGGGATGCAGCATTCATGGAACCAATCCAGGAATGCTTGCACAGTTATCCATGCCTTTTGGTTGGACTGGTAAAAGGTTCTTTTTTTTTCCTTTTAAAGCCCAAGGATGTGCTGAATGGTAAAGCAAGCCAGGTTTGATCATGTGGTCAGCTTGTAACAGCACAATTTGTATTATATAAATATTATTTATCCAAATGTATATTACCCATATATTCACCAAGTCATTCATCCATGAGTATGAATCAATTGGTGAGTTGACATTTCCTCTGGGGAGCAGGCGAGGTCAAGCTTGGTCAACACATTTCAACAACAACAACCTGACGCGTATCCTGTAAGGAACGCTGGACAACTCCCTCTCCCTGGTGAGAGAGAGAGAGATTATCATATCACCTGTTACCCAGTGAACACCTCACTTAAGTGCTCTCCCATATTAGTGTAACAAGACATTTCCCTGAGCAGAGAAGGTACAATATACTCTCAACTGAACTCAGTACCTGTGAAACAATATTTTTCTACATTAAAGCAAAACTAACAAAGTGTTTACTTCAGCCCTGCCACTTATCAAATCAAGAACTATTTTATATATATATATATATATATATATATATATATATATATATATATATATATATATATATATATATATATATATATATATACATATATATATACAATTATATATACTTGCGGTCAGCTAGAGAACCCAGAGATTCCGTTAAAAGTGGCTCATGAATCCAGTGAACAACAGAACATATGGGATTAATTCCAGTAGAAACAACCCGACCCCAAACCACTTTTTGAGGCTTGCTGCTTTATGTTGTAGTAAAAATAACATCTTAATTTTATGATGGTACATGCACACAATTAATACTTAAAGAGAAATAGAGAAATACAGTCGCCAAGTTAATGTCCATTCAAATAATGGACTCAACTCCCTCCCCCTCTTCTCACACTACACTGCCGGCTCTTCCCTCTCTCACACTTTTTGGACAAACCACAATTTTGGGATAACCTCAAACTAAAGTTAGGAAAATATAATTGACATTGCTGGATTCCTTGTAAGACCAGGAATATTTTGAATATAAATATCATATATTTTGCACAAAAGATAACATAGTTACCTAGAGAAAAAATTTTATCTAAAAATTGTAAGTTTAAAGCAAAATATATGATGTTTATATTCAAAATTATCACCAAATTATAAGAATTCCAGCAATGTAAATTATATTCTGACCGGGTAATTTGTATGAATTTTATGAGCTAAAACAAATATCTTCAGTTAATAAAAAAAAAATAATCTTCACGACACTATCTGTCAATCAAAGTACCCCACCTTGCCTCCCCCCCTCTTCCAACAGCGCGGTCAGTCCCAACCCTCCCCCCACCAATCCTCCCTTCCAGAGTTTTTAACATTTAGTATTAAATAATACCTCAGATTAAAGTTAGGATAATATAATTGACATTGCTGGATTCCTTGTAAGACCAGGAATATTTTGAATATAAATGTCATATATTTTGCACAAAAGATACCATAGTTACCTAGAGAAAAAATTTTATCTAAAAATTGTAAGTTTAAAGCAAAATCTATGATGTTTATATTCAAAATGATCACCAAATTATAAGAATTCCAGCAATGTAAATTATATTCTGACCGGGTAATTTGTATGAATTTTATGAGCTAAAACAAATATCTTCAGTTAATAAAAAAAAATAATAATTCTTCACAGGGTAACAGATGGTCGGTCGGTCCCTCCCCACCCCCCACCAACCGTCCCAAGGAGATGTGTGGGATAACCACTAAATTTTAATAAATAATACCTCAAACTAAAGTTAGGATAATATAATTGACATTGCTGGATTCCTTGTAAGACCAGGAATATTTTGAATATAAATGTCATATATTTTGCACAAAAGATACCATAGTTAGCTTGAGAAAAATTTTTATCTAAAAATTGTAAGTTTAAAGCAAAATATATGATGTTTATATTCAAAATGATCACCAAATTATAAGAATTCCAGCAATGTAAATTATATTCTGGCCTGGTAATTTGTATGAATTTTATGAGCTAAAACAGGCAGTCAGGCAGGGTGGCTGGTGTGGCAAATCTAAAAATAGCGTCTCGGACACTCACCGCGTATATGTGGAAAAAATCCGCGTTAAGTGAAAGTTCAGCTTTGGCAAGGCACCGCGTATATGCGAAAACGCGTTAAGTGAAACCGCGTTAGGCGGGGTAAAACTGTAGTAGTTTTGCTGAAACGTGATGTATTTCAATGTAAAATAGGATAAAATACATGACGAAAACAAAAGACTTTACCTAAGCTTCCGATGTTCTCGAGATGTTATTCGTTTTTTTAATAGTTTTCGGTTAAAATTCTGTTATATTACAATGATATTCTATTTATACTGTGCTTGATATAATACATTCACGGAAATGTAATATTTTTTGCTGAAATGACGTACGCATTACAGTGGAAAGTGGGTTAAAATCGTGACGAAAACAATGACTATGGCTTTCTTTCCTTCAAAAGATGTTACCGTAATCACTTTTCGAATGGTTTAGTTAAAAAACTGTTGTATTACAATAATATTCCCTCCTAATTGACTTGAATAAATACTTGAATGGAAATATACAATATTTTTGTTGAAACTACCCGCGTTTCAGTGTAAAGTGTCGTGATAATAAATGGTAAACAAGTTTATAGGACGTAGTGTTTCTCTGAAGGTTTTGTTGTTCCTTTACCCTCAAAAACTTGGGTCGACCTATAAACGAGGAATATCATAAATTAACGATTTCTTGGTCATAAAATCGGGGTCGACCTATATACGAAGGGGGGTTATAGACGAGTATATACGGTATATATATACACCTAGACCCCGACTTACGACTACGTGGACTTACGACCGTCGGGACTTACGACCCCCTCAGATATAGATAAAAAAAAAAAAAAAAAATTTAAAATTGCACACGCATTTTCTATACCGAAACGTTTTCAGTTAATGTAGTCTCCATGTATAATTAGAAAATTATGGGGGCCCCATGTGCATTCAGCTGAGTACATTAAAGGTTAAGTGCTCAGTCACACTGTATCCATTCCTTATTATTTATTACTTTCACTGTACTGTATCCATTCATCATTATTCATTACTTTTACTGTACTGTATTTCATTGTAGATTTTTTTTTATCTATGTCGGACTTACGACCTGGATTTGGGTCCCTAACACCGTCGTAAGTCGGGGTCTAGGTGTAGTTGATTGTGTGGAATCCTTTATCTTGTCCTTGAATTAATCTTTACCTTATTTTTATAACTACTGTGAATATATATATATACAGTACTGTATATATATATATATATATATATATATATATATATATATATATATATATATATATATATATATATATATATATATATATATATATATATATATATATATATATATTGTGTGACCAACACAAGCCTCAAAGCCACAGAAAATGAACGTCACTCTGTCTTTGGCTTCCTTGAACCCAGGGGCACACCTCTCCTGCTTGTTAATGTACATTCTACCAGGCCTTTTTTTCCAATATAGACCGGATTCATTGGCATTAAAGAACTTGCTCCAGTCTATAGCCTTTCTCTTCTATTATTTTCCTTAATTTCGCGGGAGATGCATCTGCGGCTGTGTGGTCAGCTGATGCAGCCTCCCAAGTCAGTTTCACATCATGGAGAGAGAATCTTCTCTTAAAATTCTCAAATCAACCTTTACTGGTACTAAAAGATGGTTCAGTAGCTGCACTAGCCCCTTCACCACCCGTTGACTCATAAAAATGGGCATAAAGACTCTTAGCCTTCTCACGAATCACGTTGCTGTCAATCGGCCCATTTTTGTGGTGCTGGTCCTCAATCCAAATGTTTAATGCTTTTTCTGTTTACACAATGTTCTTGTCACAAACAATCTGAGCCATTTTAGCACTTGCAGGAGCAGTTACTTTAAAAGAATCTTTAATTGCATGTTCATTCTTCTTTATAAACTGCACTGTGGATTTGTTCACATCAAACAACCTATCAGCTGTGGCAGCACTCATCTTCTCCTTTAGCTTATCTAATAATTCAACTTTCTTTGTAAGGGTCATCACTGACTTCTGCCCTTTACGTTTCACTCCACTAGCACTGACACCATCAGTCTTTTAGGGGCCATTTCACACAGAAACACTAAGGTATTGAGTACAACACAAGAGATGCTGCATCTCAGGCAGTGGTTGAGCGCCAACAACGGGAGAGAAGATGCTGCAAGCGCGTGGGGTCACTCATTGCGCTGCAGGAGAGGCTCGAGCTAGCCACCATCTGCGTACCGCGAATTGTCAAAATCGTGAATCGCAAACCCACCAATCGCAATGGTTTACTGTTTAACTACTTTCTTTGATGATAAATTAGTGACATACCCGGTACTGCTTGCTAGATGGTGATGAAGTTTATGTAAAACAGTTATTGTAGATACCAGTACACTGATTTTTATTTATTTATTTTTTTCAGATTGTAGTACAATCTCCATTCCTTACCATGGACCTTTTGGAGGCATGTTTCCCTTATGCCCTCATCCGGAATGCCTACCACACTGTGCACAAAGCTGAGCATTGAACCTCGCCTATCTCACTGATTCATAATGTTAAACCTGAGTTATTAGTCACTTTTTGAGTCATAGAGTTTATATATTTCTTGTTTACTAGAATGCTCAATATATATATATACAGTCTACAGTACATGTGGATGATTTGTTCAGAAAACCAGAGTTATAAAATGTATCCTTACTTGAGAATCCTGAATTGTGAGTAAGCAATATTTTTCATATCTCATACTGATGATTTGTTCATGTAGTTTAAACTTATAACAGATGTATCATGTATTATGTATCATCCTTTGATGTAAAGTAGTACTGTACATCTCAGGATAAAAGGCAACTTAACCCCTATAGCAGTGAGCATGGGAAAACCTGTTCTGCCTGGCTTGAGTTTTGAAAATATAAATATATTATATCTTTGTTTTTAGAGTCATGGAAATGACATTCATACAAATTCAAGACTTTGTAAATCAATCGAAAATACATCACTGTAATTAAACTACAGTTTGGAGAATTTTGCAGAAAAAGGTAAAGGAATTCCCCACATCTGTATTGTTATGAGCTGGTCTTGGAACTAGTAGGCCAGTAGTCTTTCAACTTAACATTAGCCAAAACCATATACATTCCACTCATAGTTGTAACAGGCCATTTGTTCAGTCATCACTATCACAAAAATCGAACAGTCCTTGGTAAGATATCAGTAGAAAAATTCTTGTCTTATCCCTTAGTTATAGTCATGGTAGAATATGTGAACTTAAATGAAATGCAAAGCACATTTGTTAGCTGGGTGGATCCCATTTGGGAAATAGATGGTTAGAGGTCTGAGGCATGTGGTGTCTGCATGTCTTAGAATTTGGCTTCAATCTAATGGCACAAAAAATTTGAAGTCTGTATGGACACATGATGCAGTTGTAACTTCTGTTATTTGTACTTGTATGTCATTACTATTTTAGGGGATAAATTATTTTCACATAATGTTGGTTGATGTTGAATTGTGTTACTTTGCCTCACCAGCATTTGCAAAGTGGGTGTGGTCAAATATAGAATTGTCAGTAAGGAAATCTGAACAAAAAACAAAGTACAAATCTGAAGTGATCTTTCTTGAATACAGAAGTTCAGACAGAAAGTAAGAAATTGTATGCTGGAAAAAGTACTTGTTCAGAGTCATATTTATTACACTGTGTTCAAAGATAGTTTTAATTAGTTTATTACATTATTCACAAGACAATATTAGTTTCAATTTTAGTTCATTACTCATGAAACAATATTGCCCATCATTAGATTGAGCATTCTAGTGTTACTTTATTTGTATATACTGTAACTGCATCATTTGAAGATTAAGTATTAAGTCAAGAATGGAAAAAGTTATAGTATACGTATATAATTTAAATGTAGGAAAAGTGAATCTTGCTTCAGAAAGTAACAAGAAATTATCCCTATTTTGAGAATGTAAAGGAAGCTAATGTCACCATCAAAATGGATTTTTGTTTATCTTACAGAATTATTTATTAATACTTGACTGAAGTGTTTCTCTTGACTACAGCCTTTTGTTGCCTTTGAGAGTTATATCTTGCATTTTTCTTTTTATAAAAAAATATTTGTATGGAACAAAGCCAACTTTAAACATATCTTTTTCATTAGTGTTCTTTTTATATACACTGTACTGTGTATTTTTATTGAACAGAAAGAACTTATTCAGGAAAAATAAATAAAAACTTGTAATGAGGTATATAAAATCATTCTTAGTTTGATAAGAATTTAAGCTTGCCATTAAATAATGATTTGTCCCAGAGATCCATAAATCTTGGCTTCATGATTGAGGCACAGGACAGTGAGTGGCTCCTGGTTTCCATGATACAGTAGTACTTGTTATTTAATGGCAAAGGTAAATCTTACATGGTATTTCTGAATGAGGATATTAAGTTATTATGTTCTACAGGACACTCCATTGCAAAAGTATTTGAAGGCTGTAAATATAATGTTAAATCAGTAAGGAAAATTTGGCAATTTATAAATTTGTATTGTTAACCTTCTCACTGTTGCTGGCTTATGACCCAGCACCCACCTCCTGCGTGTCAGATTTTTGGATATTAGGAAAAAATTCATAAAATTTAATTATATATATATATATATATATATATATATATATATATATATATATATATATATATATATATATATATATATATATATATATATATATATATATATATATATATATATATATATATATATATATATATATATATATATATATATATATATATATATATATAATATATATATATATATATATATTGTATGCCATGTATGGGTGTCCAATGAAGCCCAGAGGTACATTAAGTGGCTTAGCAATTAAGTGAACAACAGAACATATAGGATTAATTCCCAATAGAAACGGCCGACCCCCAAACTCCACTTTTGGCTATAACACCGTAAAAATAACATCTTAATTTTATGATGGTACATGCACACAATTAATACTTCAAATAGAGAAATACTGATACGCCAAGTTAATGTCATTCAAATAATGGACTCCCTCCCCCTCTTCTAATAAATAATACCTCAAACTAAGTTAGGATAATATAATTGACATTGCTGGATTCCTTGTAAGACCAGGAATATTTTGAATACAAATGTCATATATTTTGCACAAAAAATAACATATTTACTCAGAGTAAACATTTTATCTAAAATTTGTATGTCTAATGCAAAATATATGATGTTTATATTCAAAATGATCATCACATTGTAAGAATTCCAGCAATGTAAATTATATTCTGGCCGGGTAATTTGTATGAATTTTATGAGCTAAAACAGGCAGTCAGGCAGGGTGGCGGGTGGGGCAAATCTAAAAATAGCATCTCGAGCTGGACACTCACCGCATATATGTGGAAAAAACCCGCGTTAAGTGAAAGTTCAGCTCTGGCGAGGCACCGCGAAGTTCCCAAGCGCTTTCGTGTAATTACACGAAAGCACTTGGGAACTTCGCGTTTTCTTCTTTCCTTGTGGTTATCAGCATATACCTAGATCACGCGCACCTACAGTGATTTACTTGCATATATACATACATACATACATACATACATATATATATATATATATATATATATAATATATATATATATATATATATATATATATATATATATATATATATATATATATATATATATATATATATATATATATATATATATATATATATATATATATATATATATATATATATATTGACTGTCAGGGAATAGATTACTTATCACTGATTACAAAAATGATAACTTTTCAAAACAGTCGTCTACACTGTACTAGTGCTGTGCAGTGTAAGTAGCAAGGCAGCACTGTCAGATTCACGAGTACAGTATAATCTCCATTTATGCGGTCAATTGAACCCGTGGAGGTCCTCGTAAAACGAGAAACGCGTAAACGAGATAACAGAACATGTGGGATTAATTGAAATAGAGACTGGGCCGACCCCCAAACTACACTTTTTCCGACACAATTCGTACGTTGTAGTAAAAATAACATCTTAATTTTATGATGGTATGCGCACACAATTAATATTTAAGAGAAATATCAATAATATTAGGTTTTTAACACTTACGTTAGTAGAAAAGATGGCTGGGCACACGGGGATGGGGGGTTGGTTCTGAGGCAGAGAGCAAATTATTGGCCCTCACCTGTATCACTTGTATCAATTATATCACTATCCACTACAGAGGCTTGCAGGGCCTCTTTGTCAAACCCCCCAAAGTCCATATCCTCACTATCACGGACTTGGGCCGGCTGTGGTGGGTGGCGGGTGAAGAACTCAGTAATGTTTTGTTGACTGGGCGACCTTGTGCACACCCTGCCTGCGCCGCTTCCTGCGTAAATGATGGAATGAACTGTGTCAATAAAAATTGTCATTCTGGCAAGATGCCGCGTAAATGACCAAAGGCGTAAACCAAATCCCCGTAAATCAAGAATATACTGTATACTGTAGTGTTTTTCAGTTTTAATGAGTTTTCTTGCTTTCATTACAACAGTACGATGTACACCAGTGTACATCGCTAGTGATGTCACGAAGTGAGTGCGAGTCAGTACTCTCCAGTAAATCGACATAATCTGGATTATCTTCCACAGATGCTCTGGCAGTGCATTGTTGGTCATACAGGTTGTTGCTATGTCATTTTAAGGGTACTGCTCCATAAAAAAGGGATATATGTGAATGTTATATGGTAGCAAATAATAGCTTGTTGAAGTTGAACACTTACCATAGATATTTCAATGAAAAGTCTTAGACAGGAATTTTGAATGTAAGAAACCTTACGTTTACCAGCTGCAGTGAAAATGTTAATATTTTATTTATTTTTTTAAATACTATCTATTTTAAAATGTATTAAGCAAATTCAATCATTTATTTGGCAAAAGATGTGATATGTTCTTTGTGACTAGATCAAAAATTTCAAATATTTAAGATGGCTGTTCAGTCCCACCAGGTAGTGTAAGTGTATATTTATGATATAGGAGAATCAGCTTGCTAATTCTTGCAATTAAAAAGGGCCAACATCTTTTTTATATTAGATGAAGTGGATTAAGTGAGGGAGGGATATTCTTTATTGTTCCTAAATTACAGGGATAAAATTATGTACAAGTATAGCTGAAAACTTTGGAGTTATTAAGAAATTTATTATCTTGAAAGTTACATGATAATGAAAGACATTTGATCTTCATGTTCATAGGTCTAAATGTTGACATTTTTTATTTCTTTTGTTCCTTGTAGGTGCTCCATTTTTGTCATTTAAAAAAAAGAGAATTGTTAATTGTCTTTTTTATAGATACCTTACAGTGTTCCATCCCAAGTAGTTGCTTGGAAATTTAAACGTGTTATATGCTTTTGTAAGGTTGATGTATAGTAATATAAATCTGCTTACATACCCTTGGTTAATAGTAGTGCATTGTTAATGCAATCAGTGATTTTGAGGCTTGGATGATTCATCTTCAAGGATTGTTCTTCTATATAAAACACAATATGAAATCTTAATGCAGAACTCCCTGAAGCCCAAAATCACCAGTTATATCATGTTAATCAAAAACTGACTTTGACTTATTTTCTGAGGAACAAAATTTAGTGGTTTCATTGATTTGTAAATTTTAATGTTTTATTTTTTGAAAAACTTGATATCTGAGCAGTTATTGTAAATTTATGTAAGGGACAAAACTATTCTCTTCTACACATTAGATTGTAACTTAGTCATAAAATTGTATTTTTACCATCTATGCAGTGTTTCAAAGTCAGTTTATGGATGTAACCAAAGTATGGATGAATAAATTTTCAATTATATAAAAATTTGTATAAAGATTCCTCTCTTAAAGGTAGTATATATGAGCCCTTACTGATACATTTACGGTAATAGTAATAGTCATACTCTCAATGCTCATGCAAGGGGCATCCATTATTAATGTGCACCTGTCCATCAGTCCATCCATACCTACTTTTATTCACCCAAATTTGTTATTGATATCATAGCCTTTCCTTCACATGGATGCAAAGCTGATAGATCTCAGATGCCTTCCCATGCGTGGTGCGAGCATCTTGCGTGGATAGAGATGGATGGAGGCTTCACTACATCTACATTCTTTAACCCTTGCATAAAGTGTAAATATCCTTTCTTAATGCTGGGTTCTGGATTTGGCGGCATTGTCACTCTTAGAGTGGCAAATACTATCCAACATACAGCACTTGCCTCCTGTTCCAAGGGTCAGTGGTTCAATTCCTGGGTTCCTCCAGGTCACCCAGCTGTAAATGGGTAACTAAGTTTACAATAAGGGGAAGTGAATACAGTCAAGTGCAGTTTCGGCCATGCTGCCTCCTTGTGTACTAAAGGCTGCATCAACACTGTCCCTAATGGGCACTCGGGCTTATGGGACCCACTCATCCAATACAGAGCAATTAAATTTTATAGGCTTCTCTACATGCGTTTTTGCAGTGACCAATTAAGTTTGTTTTTTGAATCGGTATGGGAATACTGTATGCAATTTACAAAAGAAATTTGTAATTCAAATACTCATGAGATAGATATTCATCTATAACAAATATATTAATGAAATCAGTATTCATCCACTGTGTTATTCCTGATTACACTTTTGAAAACTCGGTAGAATCATTCAAAAACTTTTTTAAGGAATATACTTAAGACCACAGTATACTTTGTTAGTCTTACATGTATATGGCTACAGTACTCTATAAGATTGAGCTCTATAGCTCTATTCACTGAAAAATAGTATCACGATTCAATAAACAAAGAATGATGCTAAACAAAACAAACAGAATTTTACATTTATGTACAAGGGTACTAGGGTTCATATACTGTAACTATGAACAATAGTAACTGGAGCAGCAGGGGCAGATCCAGGGGGGGTCCAGACCCCCCCTTTTCAAAAGAAAATTCCAATACCTTTTCTTTAATGCAGTACTGTATTCAGGCATTTTTGTATAGTAAAAAGTAATTACTATTGACCTCAGAATACCTCCTTATATCAAGTGCACATGGCTTCAAAGTGGCCTCAATATGCCCTCGCTATGCTCACCATGTTCCCCTACCCACAACTTCTTGGACCCCTGCCATTTTGATATTCCCAGATCTGCCCCTGATTAGTATTTTTCATTTACGGTATACCTATGATCCGTTGCTTAGGCTTGGTTCCTAATCAGTATAGTGTAGTATTAATATATCAACAAGAATAAAAGTGAAAATTTGTTGATGAATAGAACAAGCATTACGAGGCTGACGGATCACTTCAACAGCACAAAATTTTGTGGCAAAATAATATACTGTAGAAACTCGGCCTCTTCTCTTGTTTTTTATAATATATATATATATATATATATATATATATATATATATATATATATATATATATATATATATATATATATATATATATATATATATATATATATATATATATATATATATGTATGTATATATATATATATATATATATATATATATATATATATATATA